AAAAAAAAAACATAGAAAATGAAGGTTGTTGCTAGACAACACTTTAGATTAATGAAGAAGCGATATGCGTGTGTATACGTGTCACAGCTGAGTATTATAATCTATTAAAAAAAAAAAAACTATGGCAGAAAAACCATCAGTTATGCTAACTGATGGCGGTTTATGGAATACACGAAAATCACAATATAGTGCTGAAACGACTAAATTACTTAAGAGTAATAAGAAACATTGAATTGGTTTTTTAATGGAATATATATAATTTTATATTGTTTAGCACTTATGGATGAATCTCGTATTAATAATTTTCAACGTCATCAACTTACAAAACATATGCTTCGTAAGTGAATGATATGAAAATTATTAATAATATTAGAACTAATTTTGATCGTCTACATTTCTTGTTTTATTTAAAAATATTTCGATTTATTTATAGTTTTCATAATTGTTCATTTTGAAAATTTATTAGAATATAATGACAGTACTTTTGTTCGATAGACAGAACTTAAATGTGGTTTGATTTAAAATTTTTCTTCTTTTTTTTTTGTATTCAAATAGATAGTAAATGTTGAATTCATTTTTATAAAATTGCTATTTAACGATTTTAAAGCTCAAGTGTTTTAAATGAAGAGATGTTTTAATAAGATTTGTTAAACTATATGAAAATATTAGTGAACATTGGCCTTCAGACGATTATGAAAATTGAATGTCAAATGTAAATGTCCTTGTTTATTATGATAAGTATCGCTCATTTTCTACATTTTTTTTCACCTGTTCGTTGCATGTCTGATCATATGTTATTTTTGTTATCATGCTTACATTTTTTCGATTATGTGAAACAGAACTGATATGATCAAGAACATTGCGTTAATTGAAATCTTTCTCGTATGAAAAATATTTATGATGATTGTCTCGTTCTTTTAATTTGCTATTTCACACAAGAACTTGTTATTATCTTATCTTTATGAAAATCAATTAAGTGAACAACTCAAAACTAGAATGATTCATTAGTAGAAAGTTATCAAGTTTGATGTATTCGAAAAGTCAGAAATATCAATCGGTCTGATTTGATCTGATGGTAGCTCTGATCCATACTAACCTATTCAAGAGTTCTTAGAGTAAGAACCATGGTATATACTGTGTAGGTATAGATAGGATGGTTCAGGTCCTGCTCATGTGTAATACATAGACTGAACACATCAAAGTATAATTCTTTGTTTGAAATCAAACAAAAATTATTTTCATTATCTAATATTTTTTCTTTTTACTGTTTGTTATTGTCATATGTGAACTTCTATTGAAATATCTTTAATATATGATATTTATTTGTAGGAGGTGAATCATTGCCTGAAAGACTCGGCCCATCATCAACGCAAACGAAAGCACCAGTAACTAAACGAATAGATACAACTCGTCAATCAAGGTAAATATTATTAGAAAATATCATTTGTACAAATAAATATTCGTTTTCTTTATAGAACTGCACATGCTTCTGGATTACGTACTTATAATGATATTGTTAATTCAGGAGCTTATACTCCACCTGATTATCATCCAAGACCTACGAGTAAATTGAATAAATACTAAGAAAATTCGTTTTAATTATTTTATTTTTTGTAGAAGTTCGTACTGAACAAGAAAAAGATCGTCTAGCACATTTAATGGCATATGGAATTGATCCAACAAAAATGGCACTTCAAGCAGCACAACGTTCACCAACACCACCACCACGTGAACTTGATCGATTCGATGAATGTATGTGGAAATTCTTGGCGTTTTTTGACATGATATTCTATTTAAAAACAAATGATATCTTTTTATAGTGGTACTTGAAATCGAAGAAAGAAAACAATTTCTTGATCAAATGACTGCACTTGGTAAAAAAAAAGAATATCAACAAGTCATATCAAATGAAATTGCCGATGTTAGTATGCTGAAAAATTTTATTTTATTTGTTTAGTTATTTTCTTTTTATAGAAAATACGTGAAATGGAACAAATTGATCGACAACGTTCAAAAGCCTTAGAAAAACGTTTAAAGGAACAATCCTAATAGACAAACGTACATATATATATATATTAATGTATACAATCAAATAAAATATTTCAATTTATGTTCATTCGATTTGTATTTATCTTGTTCATTAATTTTCTGATTTTAAAAAAACAAAATAATTTGATTCGATAAAATTAAATTATAACTCGGAAGTATATTAAACAAATATCTAACTATTCTTTATGTCGAATCGAAATATATTGAAAAGGAATCATTGTTCTTTGAAGCCTTAACACATATTCCTTCGGGGATGTGGGTGTTTCCCAGCTCTTAATACATACACACTCACACCCATATGAATCGAAAAGAGGGGTTTTACCAGAGAAATGTATTTTTCAAAGTTTTGCTATTTTGGAGAAAACGTGATTTTCGTGCTACACATTTTTGGAAAAATCTTGGGAAAGTTCTTTTCCACACACAACGATAGTGGATCAATTTTGAACAAAATGTGATGTCACTCAATTTTTTTTCGATTTAGCCTCCTTAGAAATCCCAAGAACAAAACTGTGTTGTTTTTTGCTGAGACCTTGACTCAGCGGAATCTGACTACTAATAATTCCATCTGTAAAAGACAACAAAATTTTGAGTGACATCTCCTTTTACTAGAAATTTTAACTACACTCCGAAAAAATTGAAATTTTATAGTAATTGTTTGGTTTCATTTGACGTAGATTTCAACGCTGTTTCGAATAGATGCTTCTTTGTGAAAAAATATTTGTTTGGTAATGGAAAATAACCTTATCTGCCTTTCTCTTTTTTTAGATTTTTGCAAAATAGTGTGCTCGTAAGGCTCAAAGCTAGTTTTTCTTACTCAGTTTGATTTCTGTTTCGAATGATGTATGATGGAGCTAAAAACAGATTTTGAATTGACTGTACCAAGTAAGATCTCACAATGAAGGTAAAAGACGTAAACATTAATATCGTCTCTCCATTAAACACCTTGAATGTTATGTCAGTGACACCGATTCGTGAAATTGATGATGAAATCATTCTATGGCGTTCTTTCTTCAATGCCCTTCCATAATTAGTCCTAGACTGTCTCTTTACGTTTAAATACAGAGTAGAAGATGACTTTCCCATTCCATACGTATCCTAAACTCCCATGTCTGACGAACTGAATCACTTGCTGATGTTGTATAACGACTCCTTCGACTACCAACATCATCATGACGAGAAAACTATGGGACTTGCTGAAATCATACCTATCCCTAACAAATACAAAGAAGAAATAGCTCAGCCACTGATAAGAATAACTATGGTCTCTCATCCGATGTGGTTTGTGAAATTATCTGCACAATCAAATAAGCACGATTCCATTATTAAAGGTGTCGACACTACCGAAGAGGTACTGAATGTAATCATGAATAGTTCCACATTGCTCAAAGTCGAATGGTAGCAACGAAATAAATCAACTTACATTATCCTCAAACCGTGGAATTCTTTGATCAGCAAGTATAATGAATTTCGTCTATTTGTATGGGCGAATAAAATTACAGTAACATTGATATACACGGATAGACCACTCACAGAAATACATTGACACGGTTATAAATGTTATCAACGACTACAGACATTCACAAAAGTTACCATCGAATTGTGTGTGGATGTGGGTGTGGGTGTGAGTGTAGGCGTGAATGCAGGTGTTGGTGTGTGTAATTGTTTGTTTCTACTTAAAGTCCTTATCATCCACACTCCAGTAGAGCCCATCGGGTCCAAGAATTTTGGACCTGAATCCGAACTCGGTTTATTGAAATTTTTTTCTACCTGAGCCCGAGCCCAATTAATCAAACTTTTTACTACCTAGATCTGAACCCAGTTAATAAAACTTTTCCTACCCGAATCCGGACCCGATGAAATCCGACTTTAATATCATGAAAAAAACTTTCTATATTCCTTCTTCTCATAGAAGACCAGGACGCTTTTATTATGTCCAAGCATACAAAGTTTCCAAAGTGATCTTCGATTGTATCTCATTTATTTTTATAATTTTTAATTAAAAACGCTTGAGAAAACGAAAAGATTCTAAGAATTTGAGAGGAGATTTTCATAGTTTTAAAAGTCCAGAAATAATCTTGATC